TTAGGAAATTCTATGTAATTATATATGTATATAGTTTCAAGAATCTTAATAAAGTATTAGCGTAACTGCTTAAGGTTTAAAAAAAAAATAAATAAATAAAAATTTTTAAACAAAAAAAAAATACACTTTAATCTATACTAAAAAGACAAAAATTTTATATACATAATTTAAGAATTACTATATATTTTTAATTTAATAATTCTTTAATGTAAATTTTTTATTACACTATATATTAGTCTATATATATAATTGTTGTATTTTTATTAAACTATATTACAACATGTAACTGTTTAAAAAAAAAGTAATAAACAATTCTAATCTTTTGTAAGAAGAAAATCAAATTAAAGCTTGTTTTTAAATTTTAAATTTTTATAATTTTTATTTACTATTACATAATAGCTTAAATAAAATAACTTTTTTAAACTACTATTATATAACTGATTTAAGTAATAATGCTAAGTGAGTTACTAATTAGGTATAATTAAGTGTTTATATTTTATAAACAAAAGTTTGTTTAATTGGCTAATAAATTCAATTTAATTTTATATTATTTATAAAGTTTAGAATACTTTTTTTAAAAAAATAAAAACTAATTATAATAAAATAAAAAAAATTTGTATAAAAGCTTTTAATAAAGATGTAGTTTGTTTAAAAAAAGTAGTATAGTAATAACCTAATAAAATTAACTTATTACTAAGCTAATTTTTTTAAATAAGTAAGAATTGGATCTTATTTTTGACGATAAAGTCCTACAGCTCTAATGAAACCCTTTATATGGTTTTTTTTTACTTTATTATAATTGGTTTCGTTTTTATAAAAAGTATCCTAAACTGTATAAATAATGTAAATTTAAATTAAATTTATTAGCCAATCAGACGGACTCTTGCTATGAGGTCATGCTTATAGGTGAGACCGTCCCAAATATGAAAATGATTCCGATATTGTTACACAGCGTGCATCAGCCAATCGTGCTGTTACTTTTAGCAAGTCACATGCATGTTAGCCAATCATATTACAAGAAATAGATTGTGAGATTAAAAGGATTCAACAGATATATTATAAAGTAAAATGAAAGCATTAATTTTATCCGTCATGATCATAGGAATTTAAGTTGCCCGAGTTTTTTAAAAAACGTATTGTAAAATGTATAAAAAAATTTGGTTATCAATTGTGTAACAATCGCTAATCATTTCCATATTTGGGACGGTCTCACCTGTTGGTCATGCTTGGTTCGTGTCCGGACTTTTAACAGTCCTAGTCACATCTATAAATTGGTACTAACGCGTTCACTTTTATTTTTTAAAAACTTTTTCTGAAAACACATGCTATCGTTATGTCTAAGTGGTGGAATCGTTATTTTGATGAGACTCTTGTTAAAGACTGGTCCATTTTTCGCTTTCATAAAAGCTGGATTGACTCTCACAGAGGGAATGTTGAAAAGCTAACTTATGGAAAGGCGACAGACGCACTTGTTAAAAGTCTCCAAGCGATTGTTCAACGAAGCTCAGATGGTTCAAAAATATGGAAAGCTAGCTCTCTTCTAGCCGATCTTCGGGCAAGTATTTTTTGATCTCGTTGTGGTTGCGACATCCATAACTAGGAGGCATGTGTGCTTTTTGCCCACTCCTCTGACGATCTTTTTGATTGTTATGGTTTCTTAGCGCTGAACTAATGACATTTTTTTTTGTATTAAGAACAAGACCAAACGTAACTTAAGAAGCGATGTTAATAAACTGTGGCTTGACGTTGAAAAAATTCCCCGCGAAAAGATGGTCAATACAGGAACAATTATTCAGTTTATAAATGCATCATGCGGTAATATACAGATTAGTAACGTTGGAAATAAACGAACTCGTGAAAAAGAAAACGAGACATCATCAAAAAAAGTCAGTATATAATTTGAAATTTGATTGAGTGAGATTACTGATAATCGTATGAACTGCATTAATTTGTCAACGACAATCCTTCTTTAAACCAGCATGTGGGTGAGCATCATGGAGAAATGTCGTCATTAGAGGTTTGATGTTTTCATTATTTTATGCATATTTCCTTTATTTATAAGATCGCATAACAGACTTTTCTTGTACAGGATTCAGTAGTTCAAGGACTTATGAACATTGGTGGGATCGCTCGTTATAATATTATCTTTTTACCGGAAGAAGATGAGTGTAATCCGATTAAATCAATATTCACTAAAGAAAAATGGATAAAGCTTGAAGCGGATTGGCAAAAGGTTTATAATTTATCATGTTTGTATTATTTTTAACAAACAAACTCAATGTTAATGTTTCAGGCTGAGAAGAAGACAATGTTACCTGCCGGTAGTGGAATGAATGAGAATGTTAACAAGTTGCTAAAAAAGTACAATGATGGCATCACTAAAGCAACATACGGATACAATGTAAATTTGAATAAGGTTGCCGTTTTATTTGATGAAATGTCTATTGTCAATCGTGATGCATATAGTTTTACTGAAGAATGGTCTATGCGATGGATTAAATTGGTTTATAATGCATTGTAAGTATATTTTTTGATCCGTTTTTTTTTTGAATAGATTAACTCATTTTATTATAGTTTATTGTGTTTTCAACTATCTATAAATCCACTTCACGATGGTGAATTATCTGAATATGCCTATAAAGATAGGATTGTAAATCGTATCATAGAGGATGTTTTCCTAGACATAAATAATGTTATTCGTATGAAAACGTAGGTTTTCTCTTGTAATGTTCAATATTTCTTAAAAGTATATTTATGAAACACTGATGTAAGATTTACTAATAACAAGGGGAGAAGTTGGAAACCAGAATAGTAAAGTTCAGAAAGATTCAGAAAGATCATTAGGGCAATGGCGTTCTGTAGGATGGGAACATGATGCTATGTTAGTAATCAAGGTAAACAGTGTTGATTTTCAAGTAGGATTCGGAGAAGTTGTGGGCAATGCCTGTATACGTGATGATAAAAAAATGATAGAAGATCGGGAGAAAATTTTAAAGTGTAAGTAGGAAATTAGAGCTGACTTTTTATATTCCTAATTAATAAAATCATTCAATTTAACAGCGATGCAATTTGGATTATTCCGGTTACATCAGTTATTTAGACAAGGAGTTGATGAAAATGATATTAGTAATGCTGAAACGTTTGGAATTCTCGTTTATAGTAAGTGATAATTTATAATGTATTTGTTTTTTGTTATTTTTATTAGTATTTATAATTTATAAATTATGCTTTTGTAGGAAAAACTTTCCATTTCTATTCAATGCACTATGTTAATAATTTGTACCTTGTGGACCAATTTGACGAATTTACAATTCCTGACAATTCTGGTCAATTGGAACAACTTTCAGATATTATAAAAGTGATGTTTTCTTTTAAGGTAACAATCTTCACTGTTTTTTATTATAATAAGGCCTTTTCTAACCACCTGCTTTTTATTACCAGCAACGCGTTATGAATCTTCATTACTCTATTCAAAATTTATTCATCAAAAAGCGTAAATTTCAACAAAAATTTAGTAATACTTGTGGAATTGATAACAAAGAATTATTTTAAACCAGAATAAAATAGATAATAAGCTGAATTCATTTAGTTTAGTTAAAAAAAGATTCTAAGTAATTTTGTTTTGTTATTTGTTACAAGCTGTTTCTATGTTATATAAGAAAGGTTTGGATATTTTTGCGCACTTATATTTTTTTATATTTTTGTGCCTTTTTTTATTTAAGAGTTTGGCAAAAAAAAGCTAGTGTAAATAGAATTTAGTTAAATTTAAATAACATATGTTGAAAGTACTAAGTAAAAATGTTTAGAATTTTAAAAAACCTAACTATAACAAAGGTTTGGATCTTTATATTTAATTTTAACTTTGGTTTAAAATTGCATTCTATTTTTAAATTTAATAAAAGAAATAAGAGATAGTGATATTGTCACTGGTAATAAATATTAAAATTGATTATTATTAGATTTTAAATTTTTTTTATATAATACCATAGTAGAAACTTTAAGGACAAAGTAAAAATTTAATTACAAAAGAAATTCTTAAAATAAAGATTTCTAAATTACATTTGCGTTGTTAAAAAATATATTCAATATAACATTACTCTTTTATTTTCTATTGAATATTATAAATAATTATTTTAAATTATTTTTTAGCTAGAATAGATTGGAAAATATCTTGAATTTTTAATTTTTTTTTTTTTTGTTAAAAAGGTCATACTTTGTGGTGATATTTTATTAACTTTTATTAGGCTCATTATTATAACTATTTTTACAGAAATAAGAATACAACTAATCATACATATAACTTTTAATTGCCTATTTAAGTAGTTTGTTTTAAGGTTCTACACTAGATGTTGTATCTATAATCTGCTTGAAAATTATTTATTTAAACCTTTTGATTATCTGTTCTATTATGATATAATTCTAACTAACCCTCTATATATACCTAACTGGTATATTGTCTGAGCAATATGGTACCTATCCTTTTTATACTGGTTCTTAGACTATTACATATTTCAGAGTATGTCACCTGCCAGTAAGACACAGAAGGTCTTCTGTTGTTAACTATTTATTTACTTTTAGAATACTAACAAGAACTATCCTTATAGAATTCATCTAGACCTCAGCATTGACTTTATAGCATATCTCTAGTACTTTTAGTATACCTTTGTTTTGTTCTTAAACTTTCAATTTTAATAGCCTGGAAGGACTGTGAACTGTCCTTGATATATTAAGACTGAACTAATATTCTTTTTCTTTAGTTTGAAATGTGATAACCTAGTTGGTAATACTATAATAAAATTTACTAAAAACTAGCAAGCTGTAGTAATTTTAAATGCATAAATGCTGAATAAAAGATCTTTTATTTAAGAAAAATAAAATAAATAAAAATAATTAAAAATAAGAAATAAATATTTAAAAATGGAATTTAAATTCAATAGCCTTCTAGATACTATAAGGATTTTTATGATAGGCCAGTTATAAAGAAGATTTGATCTATTATTCTTTTTATATTAGTCAGGCTTAACAAATAGTTTACCTTTTACAAGAATTATCTGTATTAGACTTAGAAGTATTCTAAAACACTAGAAGAGGTGATTAGTAACAGATAATCAGACTGTTCTAAGCTATATATAGCTTTTTAAATTCTAATAACATAAAGTTAGTATCTGCCAAAGTACTATTCACAAATACAACTATTACTTTATATTATTACAAGAAAGAAAAATAAAATATTCAATAATATAAAACTAGTATTTGCCAAATAACTAATTAAGAAAACCAACTTTTTACTTTATATTATTATAAGAAATAAAGAAGAAAAATA